GGTTCTACTGTCTCGATTTCTGCAGTCTGCTTGTTCCGTGACTAGTACCGTGTACTTTGCCTGCTCTCCCATATTTATTGTTGAAGGTGACTTTTGTCCTGGCCACGGAAGCTCTTTAACTGCTCTTCTATTCCCTTTTTCGTCCGTTGGCTGCATTTGATCTGCACCCTTTCGCCTCTCTTTGTTTCCTTCCCCTGCATGCTCTTTGCTCTTTTTTGCTGCTGCTTGTTTTAAGTTCTTCAGCCCTTCTCAGGCTAGAGGTGCATCTGGGATAGCTTTTTTCCCAGGCTGGGGAAAACTGTTATTATGCCTCTTCATTCACTTGTTCTGTCTTCTGGCAATGCTGGAGGGAGGAGCAGAAGAATATCCTGTTGCTTACCACTAGCGTCTAAGCCAATTCTGCTGCTCTTCTTCGTGTCTTTGAGAATCTTTTGTCCTCCGAGGAGAGCTGTAGAGAACTCGGCAGCTTTCCTGCATGGATCCTGCGTCGTCAGGCACTAATCAGGAGTCTTGTTTGCAGGAAAGCATCTGCTTCTGCAATTTGGAAGAGGAATAGCACTTGTTATGCCATTGCTGGCTTTAGCTACAAACGGGCCACTGTCACTCATAAACAATTGCAAGATTTGGCAACATGGGCTGTTCTTTTCTGGAAGCAGAAATGAAGTCATGGGGACAATGATATGTACCAGGCAGTTGCTAAAAGGACTGGATTTTCAAACAGGCCAGTGTAGATAAATAGTGTAGGAAGTTGCAGAATACATTGAGCTGTGGGAAAATATACTAGGATATGTTCACAGTCCTCTAAGGAATTTTAAAATAATATTCCTTGTAAAATATTTATGAAATAACCCCAAATTTTAATTCTGTAGGTCTCTGCTATGCAGAAAGTTTAAGCCGAAAAGTATATTACTCTTTTGTGAATTTTAAAACCTTTATGATGGAAAAAAAAAGCATAGATAGTGAGATGATTTCTCAAATGTCTTGTCTCAAAATGTTGCTTCAGGAGCTGTCACAGTTCTGGTATTGGTGCAGGGACTGCAGTATTTTGGTCTTGTTTTGGTCTATAGGGTTGAAATGAGAAAATAAAGAATGAAGAGATAATAGACAAGAAGAGGATGAAAAAAAGTCTTAAGGGAATCGAAAGGTCTGGAAAGTGGCGCAGTGTTTGCCTGCTGAATGGAATGGTGAGGGCTGGCAGAGACAGATAGAAAAGGCGGCAGCAAATTACAGAGGATCTGCACTGGTTAATGGGAAGATGCTAACTGGAATGAAGCTGGGGTTGGACTGGTAACCTGATGCAGTTCAGTTTGTTTAACATATCCTTTCCCTTCCACACCATTTTGGAAATTGAAAATGGGCTTAGACATCACTTTGATGGGCATAAATTTAAAATGTTTTGAGTATGGGCAGTAATGTTGCTGGATACCATCTGACCATCTGTTCAGTTGGCCTCAACCTGACTATAAATAATCCATTTTATTTGTTTCCTGGTTTGATGTTTGTTTTGCTGGTGCTATGCTGTGGGATTACTTAAAGGATCAGCTTGCCATAAATGTTCTTCAATAAATGCTGTACAACCCCCTGTCTACGGTATAATTAAACTGATTTGCACTCGGATTATTTAGCAGAGCAGTTGAGATAAGAATGATCCTCACATGACTCAAGCACAGTTCCTCAGTGTGCTCAGGGAAGTGGGTCTAACATGTTTGCAGTGTAGTGTCAATGTGAATGACAGACATTTTAAAATGTTTTTAGTTATTTCTTTGTAAATTCCATTATAAAGCTATCTTGTTGCAGTAGGTCGGGATTTGAACAATGTCATCAAGATACATACAAGGAGATAAGGTGATATGAAACATGAGCAATGGGTGGCAACCTTCACTGATACTTTTCAGAGAGGTGTCCTCAGGAAAGACCAGCACTTTGGCCAGACAAGCTCTAACATTTTCCTGGCAGGCGTAAAGTTTCTGCTGAAAGTTTGTACTAAGCCTGCAGACTTCATGAAGTTACTGTAATTTGAGATGCGTCATATTTTTATTGTTCTGCTGTGTTAACTCTGAAACCTGAGAGTGATGACGTGATGTCACCTTTAATTTTCACAATGTTGAAAATCATACACTATGCTAGAAAGCAGGGCTGTTTTGTGATGTTGTCTGTCATCTGGTGGCTGGAACAGTATGCAGCATAGAGGGAATACCACTCGCGTGTTCCTTTTTCAGTCCAACTTTGTAGTGAAGGGCCAGTTGTATGCTTTTCCAGTGTTGTTCTTGCCTTCATGAATATTCTTTGTCCTAGGGAAGTGAAATGTGTTAATTTGGTTACTTTTATCTTCTCTTTTTCAGCTAGTGGAAGTGTTAAAGACACTTTTGTTGGAGCCAGAAATGGACAATACAGGCTTTTAAAAATAGTCATTGACAATGGTTAGTCAAATTTTAATCTTTTTCTCTGATTCTTTTATATATTTTCCTGGTTGTTTTAGTGAAGTACATGTACGGTTGTTTAAAAAACAAAACTCTGCAAAACTTAGTGTTACTAAGGTCTTTTGTATACAGAAAGTAAGATTTAAGTTTTGGTGATGTTGGGCTTTTCAGTATGATGCTACTGTATTTTTGCATTTGAATTTTTCTTCCAAATGTCGTTTAGTATTTTACCAAGAACTGCTGTGTATTTCATATAGATAATATAAATTTGCCTACTCTGATCATCTTATTAAAGAAAGAGTAGAGGGGAAAAAAAAATCTACACTTGTGCTTTGGTTACTTTTGTTAGACAGATTCTCACACAGCAGCTAGTCACTTTAGATGAAGTATAAATGTTATCTGCATTTTATACTGGGATCAGCTGCATGTAGAAGGTCTTATTAAAGCATGTTTAAGTAGTAATTTGGCTACATAGAAAATATCTTTAAAAATCTGTAACTTTGTACAAATTTTCAAACCTAAAACTGTTCCTTAAATCGCACATATATGTATAAACATAAAATTGCATAATTTATTGCAGAACTTGAGTTTGATCTTTGAACCTCTTGGTGAGTGATCAAGGCTGCAAACATTGCAAGATAGAATGCATAATAACTTTTTTTTTTTAATATCAGTGTTTGTTGACTGTATAAGACACTTCATGGTTTAGTCCATCTCTTCAAGTACATCAAATGCTCACTGTGGGTTTTTGTTCTTTGTAGAGTTCATTCATTTACAATACACTGAAATACCTGTTAGCTGGAGAGAGGTACATGTATGTACACTTACGTACTTTTATTGTTAGGTAAATAACCTACTGTTACCTTCTTTGTGTTTGCTTTTCTTAGGAAGTCTTCTGACATTTTAGTATTGCTTTCGTTAAGGAAGTGACTATAGTAATACTATAGGCAGGTCACTGTGGTCAAGTCTCACTAGCACAAGGTAGCACATGCTGGCATACCATTGAACCTATTTTTTTTTTTCCCATTAGGCAAGGTAAACCAATATGCTTTTGTGTGTATGCTACTTTTTAGTATGAAATTAAGCCTAGAAATAAGATACAAATGGAAGACATTCCTTACTTTTTTCCCTTTTGTGTGTATGTATTTGTGTGTATATATATGTGTATATATGCATTTTGTCTATGTAGAAGCAGAATCCAGTCTTTCATACTGTTTTTCACAGTTCAAAAAGAAACCTCTAAAACTCCCAGAATTCTGGAAGAGGGAGAGTTGCTTCATCTGTCTGCAGGAGCTTGCAGGAGCTTGCAGGAGCTTGCAGCAACTGCCCTTGGTCAACAGATAATAGTCAAACTGAGTTCTGCTAATCTGAGTTAGTGAGAGAGGAGGTTTGCTCGTGGACAATAGAGTTCCTCTGTCTGTATTTTTTATCTTAAATCCAAGTGAATATAAAGCCACCTAGAGTTCAGAATTGGCAAGTATATCCATAATACTCATCTAGGTGTACAACTTCAGCTACTTTGCATCTAATTCAGAGAAGGGCCGAACACCCTCTCCCTGAGCTGTTCATGTTCTGTGACTTACTGTGGTAGAGTGCCTTGCTCTGAAAGTTTTGCTGTAGAGGCAATCGTATGCTGCTGTACTTTTGTCTGAAGTTTTACAAGTCAGGTCCTAGGCTCTCAAAAGATACTTTGTATGGTAGCTACTGTGATGGTCCTCAGACTGTTAGAGGATCCCATTTAAACAAGGTATTTCTGTTTTGATTGTGCAGGCTAGTATTTATTGGGAAGCTGATAAATGTTTTGAAAGACAGTATACTAATACTTTCGTTTGGAAGCTGAGATGTGGTTTATAAATAAGAGAAAAACCTTGTTGCTACAGCTGTTTGCGTAATTAAATCTCATCTGAAGTATTCTATACAGACTTAAGCCAATTATACATAATAAAAAAACTTCAGTCATTTAAAGAGACCCTAGTTACGAAGCTGTATTAGAAAGAGGTTTATCTACTTACATAGTCAAGTTAAAGTGATTAGTGCAGGCATATTCATTCCAAACTGTTTTCACTGTATAACTGAGTTACTGACTCCTTACAATAAGTACAAACACTAATGTTATAGCAAGAGCATCAATAATTCTAAAATTTAAAAGCTTACTCTCATTTCTACTAAAGTATTCCAATTTAAAAATAAACTAACTGGCAGAAGACAGTTTTTATTTGCCTTCTGTGTACATTATGCTAAAACCACTAACATCACTCTTATCCTTTCAGATCAAAAAACTTGATGACAACGGCACATTATTTCTCAACTATTTGTATTTGGGCTAAAGTAGGTTAGGGTTTGAATGTACACAGCTTTTGTAGGAATTCATCCGCTTTCACACTGACTCTTCTTGACTTCCATTCTTGTGAATAAAATTACGAAAGATGGAGTGTCTGATTAACTGTTTGTTGTAATTGCTAATTTTGTAAAACAGTATTAACTCATTGTTGTAAACTTTGGTTATTGGTTATAGAGCAGCTTGTTGTGGGATCCTCTAGACGACCAGTTGGATCATGGGAAAAGGATTACGATTCCTTTGTCCTTCCCCTTCTTGAAGACAAGCAACCATGTTATATACTATACAGATTAGATTCTCAGAATGCTCAAGGATATGAGTGGATCTTCATTGCATGGTCACCTGATCACTCTCCTGTAAGTACCAGTCACCAGAGGATTCATGTTGTTAATGATTTTTCAACAGTGCCATTTGATCTGAATCCTAGATATGAAGGAGTAGGATTTGAGGAATGAAGCATTCCCCAACCTTCCCCTCACTTTCCCCCGAGAAAACCGGGAAATCATCTTTCTTGAAGCTGATTGAGGAGCAAAGTCAGCGAGTCTAAATGGTGTGCAGCTTATCCAATTTATTTCTAGCCTGACTGGAGGAGACAAGACAATGTTTTTGCCCTGTTTGTTTGTCTGTCTTTCTGTCAGCATTTCATGAAAATTCATGGAAGGATATAGGACAGAAATCTCAATGGTTGTTATCATAGAGAGAAGGATTATAGTGTGAGTGCAAGCTGTTTATTCTGTTTGGCTTGCTGGCTGCCCAGCTGGCAGTCATGGATCTGTGACCTGCCACAGAATATACTGTTTCTGAGTAGTTAGAGAACATGAGAGGGAACTGAGGTTAGAGTTGAGGATTTCTAGGAGAAACGAGGATACTGTGTACAGGTTCTGGGAATGTGAGATAAGGGAAGACAGAAAGTAAAGCTATTCCAGTATTCCTACTACTTTCAGTAGCAGTTAGGAAATAGACACCAAAAGTGGGAGTGCATAGAAGAGATTAGGTGGAAAAGGTGAGGTGTGATGGTGAAATAAGGTGGGAAGATGAGACTGTTGAGAGAGGAGTAAGTGACTGTATTAGACACAAGTTGGTAAGGAGCAAACATCAATAGATCTCTTACCCCCAGAAAATTTCATTTTTCTACTCTGTAGTTGAACCAAAACTACGTGGAGTTGCTATCAAATCAAAAGTAATAATGAGTTATATGCAGTCTGCTCTTTCTCTGTCTGTTTTATTCATTAGTACACAGTGACAGAAGATCTAAACAATTGTGGGTTTTCCCATTTTAAGTTAATAAAGATTACATTGACTTTTTTTGCATTTAAAAGAAAAAAGTCATACTGTTACTAAAGCTGCAATTTAGTTTTGGAATTACTTTGATAATAATGCATAGTATCATACCCTTGAGAATTTAGTAGCATGTGTTAGTATCGTCATCCAGAGCTCATTCCATGGACTTTATTAGGAATTACAACTTAATAATGCCGTTTCAACACTTAAAATATTTGTTCAAGAAAGATGTTTGTAAATGGACTTGGTACACCAACATGCTAGATTCTCTGTGTACACCAAAGAAAAAAAAAAAAGAACCCAAACCAACACTGCTTTATTATACGCTAGGTTCGTCAAAAAATGTTGTATGCAGCAACCCGCGCAACACTTAAGAAAGAATTTGGAGGTGGTCATATTAAGGATGAAGTATTTGGAACAGTACAGGTATGTTGTTTTTTTTAAAGTCAGCACACTGACTTTACGTACTAAATGTAGTAGCTGATGTTACTGGTATGGTTTTGTGGTGTTTCTGCTCTTTTTTGATTAAGGAAAAAAGAGTGAAAAGCTATGTGTGTTGTTCCAATGTTAAAATGTAATTGCTTTCATTTGAACAACTAACTAAGCATATTTAACAACTTCAGGCTAAGAAATCCATGTTTCTAGTGGTTATGAAAACTAAGTAAGAGTAGGAGGAGCATCTCTTAATCTCACTGCATGCGTATGAATCCTCTAAAGGCTGTAACAGTAACTTTCAGGCCAATTGTGTACACAAGCCATTTTGGATGTGCAGTTCGCACTTGGGCTAGCCCAATTCGGGAAGTGGGCTAGAACAGCGATCTGTAAGCCGTTAACATCTTAAAACAAGTGTTTTTATCTTAAACCAAGGATATTGAGCTGTCAGTTCTTTGGAATTTGACCGTAAAATGTAACTCAAGTCCATGCCTGCCATCTTATCTTATGGCAACAGAATTTTAGTAGCTACTGATTTGTTCAATGAAAATACTAAGAGTTGACTTTTCACTTATGCTAAGATAATTAGAAGGTCCATGTATGAAATCTAACAAGTGTCTAAGGGATGTTGAAAAGCCTGCAAGTGCTGTGCGTGTAAGGAAATATGAGGCTATTGCGTTACCTTGGTTTCTTTGGGAAGTTTTACATTGTTGTGATGTCTGCCTGTTTGTCTGGGAGATGTCAGACAGTCTTGACTCCTTAATCCATTGCCAGTTTTAGAGGTACATGTTAGAGTTCTCAGAGATACAGAATTCCCATAGCTTTCATGGAGACTGATGATTACTGAGAGATCCATATTATTCTTCCCCTTTCCCTCCTTCAGCAAAGACAGAGAGACTGCAGCGGTTATCTTCTGTTTGGCCCGTTAATGAGTTCATTGTATGCACAAATCTGAACCAAAACACCACCTCTATTGACACAGGGAACCGCTGCTGAAGGAAGGGAAGAAGTTGGAGGTTTGGGGAAGAATAGAGGATACTGTAGTGGGGAAAAAGCTGTGGAAGAGATGTGGGCTGTTGAGGTGGACACACAAGTCCATGAGGACATGAGGCTAATAATTCTGCAGCTCACCAAGTAAATAGTTTGTTATATTCAGCATTAACCTGTGATGAAGGCTTCATTATCCTAACAAACACTCTAACAAACCTCTCTGAAGAGGCTGTATTCTAGAGAAGCAGATAACCGAGTTGCTAAGAGGGTTTACTGGAAGAGGTCATGTTATTTTTTTCCTGCCCATTCAGTCAACTAATCTCTCACTGCCACTTGCACCAAGCAGTCTATGTAATATGTAGAGTTTGCGTCTAGCCCTACAACTCAGACTCCATCTCAATTGTAAGGAAGGAGCATTGCATTTGTCTATTACTGTTATTTCAAAGTGCGCTTGGGGCGCTTAGAGGATAGAGTCAATGTAACCTGTTTTTTCCAGGTTTAACCATAAAGGTTACAGCTTTATATCTCTGAAGTTGTTGGTTTCAGTGTCTTTATAAACTTCTATGTTGTAGCTGGCCTCTAATGTTCATCTGTGTGAAACTCACAGCTTCTTCAAGGTATTAAGTCACAAACCTCACTCATAATCTTGATCATCAGCATCCAGTGGGTTACTCTGTCTTTATTTTGTTAGACAGAAGGATGGTTTAGTTGCAACTAGCTCTGTTGTCCTGGTGGAACCTGGTTATGGTCCCACATGCTACCTCACATGTATTGACCTCAATACCTCTGGGCTTCTGAAACGAGGTATAACGGAACATTGGCACTGGAAATTCTATTTGGGAAGGTCTGTCTCTTTCAGAAAGGGAAGAACTAAGAAGGAGGTTTCTCTTTCTCCTCAGAACTTGAGTACAAAACTGCATTCCTATGATTGCATAAACTCCTGCCCTTTTCTGAGTGACCACTTTGATAATAAAAACACAACAGTATTTGCCTCTGGTGTCAACCTCTTTGGAGATGGCCGCAACTGACACTACTAATGAATTCCCCAAAGTGGTTATCAGAATTCGTTGCTTCTGTGACATTGCATCCTAAACTATTTGCAGTATCATGTCCTAAGGTAGCATTTCTGTCTCCCATTTTTTAAGTAGAAAACTACCAATAAGCTACCAGTCTGAGAATGCAAATTGTGTAAGGAAATAGGGTCGGATTTTTTTTATTATTATTTATTAGAATTGTGGCAATTCTGTGAGGTTTTGTCCAAGAAGGCTGAATAACTTCATGCACACGGTCTTCATTAATGCTAATTTTTGAATTAGCAAGGTAATAGGGGATTGTTTGTGGAAGTGCTGCCCGTGATACAATTGGGTGTAAGAGCAGCCCAGTGGACCCTGTTGTACAGGAAGATGAGCTGAATTTGCAAATGCACCTACACTTGTGATCCGTTCAAATAAAATAACCATAACTTTATGGGAGGTAACAGGTTTTTTTGTGCTGCATATAACATCTTTGAAGAAAACTTTTATTATGAAAAAAATTATCAATATTGATCTTGTGCTTTCAGGATGATGTTTCACTGAATGGATATAAAAAATATTTGATATCACAGTCCTCCCCTGCACCTCTGACTGCAGCAGAAGAGGAACTTCGACAAATTAAGATTAATGAGGTACCTACAATGTCTTCAAGCATG